ATCTTTTGGTTAGCCACAAAATACTTTAACTACTTCACTATGAGTGCTCCTTTGAGCAAAAACAGTGTGGTGCACAGGTTCAAGCAATAGAGGGTGGCTCCCGGCAGGCAGAAAAATGTCAGGGAAGAGGGCTCACTTATACCAAGAGGCAATAAAATGCATCTAGTCAGGTATCTTAAAATCCAATATACTTTTATACATATTACAGCTGTACTTTTCCTTTACTGAAAATAAAGTGCCTTAACACCTATCACTGTGCCAGAATCTGTATCAAATAGCAAGCAAAAATATTCAATATTCTCTTAACATAATAAACCAAGCAGGATTATTTTAGGAAAGTGGGAGACAATGAAGTTGTTCAATATTTTAGAAGCTGTCTTTTCTGGCAGTCAAAATTTCTATAAGGCTGCATTTAATCCTACATAGCCTGTTTTTTCTAGTTTAATGATCTCTGAGATAAAGATATATGAATGTACACGTACAAATGTGCATCATAAATGTAACTTCATAGAAACTGAAGAAAAACAATTATAGTAGAAATTTAAGTCAACACCTTTGTTTTTAGCTAAGCCACATTTCTCTCAACATAACAACAAAAGGTTTTATGAGAATTGGGAATTCAAGTCTATAAAACAATTTGGGTCCTCATTTGTAAAGTGTTATAAAACATTTTCAGAATATTTATGGTTTCTAGGGAACCAGGTTTAACTTTACAAAGCAATTTCAAACCTAAGAATTCATCTCTTAAGGGAATGTATTCAAGCTTGGGAAGGAAAAAGACACTACAAATTTTTCATCTAACCACTACTTTCAAATTATCAAGGTGTTCTGGTGGCATAGTGGTTAACATCAGGCTGCTAACCAAAAGATCAGTAGTTTAATCCCACCAGCCGAGCAGCAGGACAGACAAGGCAATCTTCCTCTGTAAACATTTATAGCCTTGGAAATTTTATGCGGGAGTGCTACAGGGTCACTAAGAGTTGGAATCAATGGCAGTGGGCTTGGTTTGGTTTTTCAAATTATCATCAAGCCTGGGTGTGTAGCATTTAAAGCGCTCAGCTGCTAACCAGAAGGTCAGTGGTTCTAATCCACCAGCTGCTCCATGAGAGAAACATGTATCACTCTACTTTCATAAAGTTTTATAGCCTTGGAAACCCTAGAGGGCAATACAACTCTATCCTACAGAGTTGCGTGAGTGAGAATTGACTCGACAGCAGTGGGTTTGGTTGAAATTACCCAAAATATCATAGTAATTAAAAATATCAACCCAAGTTCAGGACTTTCCTTTCTGTTTACCTTGATAAATGTGGAAAGTTTGTTATGACAGCCTATGTTCGCGTTACCATCAGTCAACTCAATAATCTCTACACTTTTGAAAAGGAATTTATTCTAATTTTTAAACTCACAGACAACTCAGAAATTCATAATCTTTAATAGCAGGTTTTTATTCAAACAAAAAGATGAATGCAAAATCTTCATTTCCTGGGTCAGGTTTCAAAACTCTCACAAAATGTACAGTAGAATAAAATACAAAATGTAAAGCAACTCCCATTTCTGTCCTTAGCTTCCTGGCCCACAGTTACATTATATACCTAAATGAAGTGTGTTAGAGGATGAGGAGAGGAGACAAATCTGGCCCTTGTAAGCCATGAATTTGGGTTTGCCAGGATAAATTTCTTTTGAACGGCTTACATTTCTTCATCAGTCAACATAAAGCTATCCTGTTAAAACAAATTCTAAAACCAGGAATCATAGTCTTATCAAAGTTCCTATTACATTATAGCTCCAACTGAAAGAAAAAGAAAAAATACATATGGCTACCAAAATCTAAACAAAGCTAAAAAAAAAGAAGAAGAAGAAGAAGTTGTTTGCAAAGTCATAAATCACTGAGCAAAAATAGGTATGCTCTGTTTCCAAATGAAATAGGATTCAAAATGTATTTCAAGATCACAGACTAAAACCATATATATATATATACCATGTACATTTATAATGAATTACCAGATGTCTGATTACAGGGGGAAAGAGCACATTTTCTTAAAATTCCACTAAAACAATGATAATAATCCATCAAAGGCAGCTAGTTTATCAGTTTATATCTGTTTGTGTTTCAAATAAAACATAGCTTTTAATCCCAAATTTTACTTCAGGCTCTCAGTGCCATCTAGTGGAACATTGGTGAGCTTACAATTTAAAAGGTTTCAGCAAAATGATTCACAGATTTTTATAACACATTATTTTAATTCAGCTTTGTATACACACTGCAGTGATAAAATCAAATATCTCAATCACTTTCTACACAAAGCAGTTCAAAAAATACCCACTTTTTTTAAAGAAGCAGATCAGGACTAAAAATTGATCAAGTCAGAAATTTACTAAGTTATAAAATCACATCAGAAAGCAAACTTTCAGATTTGACATTTTACAAATGTTTTTATTCCTCTTACTCACTACACTTATATTTTTAACAAGTATTTTTCTAAATTTATTTCTATGAATAGGTAAAATTTAGAAACATGAAATAGGTAAATTGCTTTAGAGACATGAAACCAAGAAACCAAAACTATCTTTAAAATATTTCTCAACTTTAGTAAACAACATTAATTCGTCTGTCTATTCTGAGGCTAATGCTGGGGGAAAAAGGCACATCACAAATAAGGTGCAAAGAAAACCCAGGGTATAAGTCTGAATTTTGTTTTTCTTTTAATTTTCAAAGGTCTCATCAGACCCTCTCACTGAAAGAATAATATCTGTTCTGAGAAAATATACTATCAAAATATCATGTTCAATCCTAGTGCCTAAGTTAAAAACCTGTTTGTCCAATTCCTTCACCTTCTCCATCCAATAAAATCTTCAGTTCTAAATTCAGCTGTCTCTCAAATTTGACTGTTCTCCACTTCCTAAGGCTCCTATTCTTATCTTCTTCTTAATCACCAGCCTTGTCTCCAGACTTTCCACTTAACATGCTGCTATGAAAACTAATCACCAAGCCTGGGAGACCCAGCTCCTGTTTACTTCTTCCCAACCCTCTAGACAGACTCATTTTCCCAGCTGTGCTACCACTGTGCCTCTTAACACAGATCTCTTCTTGTTATTACATGCTATCCAGTCTCAATTCCAACTCATGGAGCTCTCAACCTAAGTGGGGGGGAGGTGAACAAAAATAAATATCAGTAATTATTTATTCTACAGAGTATTTATTTTTGTTCATCTCTTCCCACTTAACTCGACAGCCCCATGGAGACAGGAACAGAGTCTAGTACTTCTTCGTATCTTCAGTACTTAGTAACTGCCTGACTCAATAAATATATGCCAAATAGACTGCATAAATGATCCTTTACAATTAGCTATGAAAGAAGGGTTAAGATCTTAAAGCATCTAAAGACAGAAAAAAGTACAAATTCACTAATGGTTAAAAAAGAACAGAGCTAAGTAAACATCTTTAGCCAAAAATACCTAATAGAAAAAAATCTAGATGATTTTGCAGATCTATGGTCAGAGTCTTGCTAGGTACCACCTGTAGAAAACGCCTATCATAAATGTTATATCAAAAAAAAAAAAAAACCTTACTGCTGTGGAGTCAAATCCGACTCATAGCAACTCCTCCTTGAGTTTCCAAGGCAGTATCTCTACAGAAGTAGATTGCCCAGTGTTACTTCTGAGGAGTAGTTGGTGAGTTTGAATCACCAGCCTTCTGGTTAACAGTCAAATGCCTTAGGCACTATGCCACCAGAGCTCCCCATAAATGTTATATAATTTTAAACTGAATGTTTTCTCTCAATCACTGAAGCAAAAAAAGTATCCTGATTATAAACTTCAATAGTGATTCTATCTATCAGAGATAACAATATACTTATGTTCTAAAAAGCTGTTCAGTACATTCTTTTGAATGCATATTTCTTATGTCTCTCCTACAAATACTACAATATACAAAGTATAAAACACTAGCACTAAATGGGCTCTTAAATAGCACCTAGCCCAATCTCATCTTTTCACAGATGAAGAAATTGAGGCACAAAGCACAAGTTCTCTCAAGAACAGCTTGCCCTATAAGGAGCTGAATATTTAAGTTACTATTTGAACCTAGGTCTCTATACTCCTATATCAGCACCCTTTCCATATTCCTTCCTCAAGCTCTTGAAAGCAAGTTCTGTATTTTGTGTGTGGTTTTAAAGATTCTGTTCACAGATGCTAAGAAGTCAACTCAAATCCATTTATCTTATTTCAGGGGAACATTTTAACTTTATTCCAAACTCTCAGAATGTTACTTAATAGAAATGGTACAGAGTACACACATACTCAATAAATATTTGTGGAATGAAGTATAAAAATACTTCCTTATTTAGGCAAGTATGTTCTCATGTCTTGACTGCAATAAGTATTTATTTTGGGTCCTTGCCCTATATTTTTCTTTCATGGAGAAAAAAGTCAGAGTTATAGGTAAACCAATCATGCTAAACCAAGCCAGCCAGCTTTCAAATAACATATATTAAATTTGTAAACTGAGAGGTACACATGAATGTCAGAGGACTAAAATCTAAGATCTGTATATTTTAGTATAAATTATGCTTTAGCTGCTATATTCAAAAACCTCACCTCTAGATAAAACCATCCTTACCCGTGATTTTTGGCTCAGAGTGTTATAAAAAGTCAGCAGATGCTCAGTAAATTACTTCATCTCATTTCACCAAATTACAACAGATAAATCAATAAGTTAAATATACATAACTGCTTTCAGGCTAAGAATGTGATACAATAATAAACTCTAGACTTAGCAATTTTGCATTTTCTGTTTTGCTATACCGAATCATCTTGCATCCCAATGAGCAATGAAAGCAGAAACAAGCCCCAAGCCTACTTTACTATAAAAATTTCCCCAGCTTATCATAACAATCATCTGCCTGCAGATAGGAAAGGTTTCTGTGAGTCAATTAGTATCCAAAGGCAATAATATTTTCTTAAGGAAGTGAAAATTCACGCTCACACATGCAGATCAATACCTTCCCAGGGACCCGGAGACTCTCAATGGCACCGAGATCACTGATGCTCTCTGGAGGGCTTTTCAGACCCTTCAAGAAAAACAGTAAGAGAAACAGAATTTTAACTGCACTGCAGAATTGTGAAAGGATAGAATACACTTTTTGACACATAAATCATTTTAAAAATATAAATTTTCCTGCTTCAAAACAAAAAGAACATATGCTCTAAAAACAATTGTCACTTAACTAGATCAGATGTACTTCTGTTAGGTTATTTTTTTTCTTCTTTTTTTAAAAATGGACTATTTACATGGCACCTTCATAACTAACAGTTGAAGTCTAAGTTCACCATGATTTAGAAACAAGGAAAAAGAGAGACAGTTAGGTGACAAGAAGTATTCTATTTAAAAAAAAAAAAAAAACTTATCTGTTAGCTATCAGAAACCCCCGGGCAGCATAAATGGTTAAATGTTGGACTATTAACTGGAAGGTTGGCAGTTCAAATCCAACCAAAGGTACTTTAGAAATAAGGCCTGACGATCAAAGGCCTGTAAACCAAAAGATCACAAAACCCTTGAAAACCCTATCAAGTGCAGTTCTATTCTGCACATAAGGGGTTGTCACAAGTTGGAATTGACTCCATAGCAACTAATAACAGTATTAATCATTAATACATTCACCTCATACAAAGGGTCAAGCAATAGTATAATTCATAAATACATTAGCCAACTGCGCTAATCAAAGATTTTTAAATAATGGTAATTGTTTAATTAATACAGGTAACCCCTCCATTTTAACTGATTATTTCTCACCAGTGTATTCAATTTGTTCTGCTTAATTAAATATTAAATCTCACATCTGACTGCTTTCTACCTGTTCTTTATGAGTTCTTTGGTACTCTGGGCATGCTATATTCATATGAACTCAGGGATTCTGAAAGTCTCATTTGTACTAGGAAACTTATCAGGACAAAAAGAAGTTAACAATTTTAAGTTTCTTTAAAAGCCTCTATAGAGGCTATCAAAGCAGACACCTAAAGTTCCATTAGACTTTAGGCAAAATCAGATACTACAGTAATTTGAGGAGAGATTTATGACCCAATCCAGCTGTACTTTAAACCCACCACCACCTAGTTGATGCCAATTCATATCAACCCTATAGGACAAAGTAGAACTTCCCTTAGGGTTTACAAGGCTGTAAATCTTTACAGAAGCAGACTGTCCCATCTTTCTCCAGTGGAGTGGCTGGTGGGTTCAAATCACCAAGCTTTCAGTTAGCAGTCAAGCACTTAACCACTGCACCACCAGGGCTCATAGTTGTCCTTTAGGCATCCTATATATGCTTAATGGTCCTTGGGTCCTTAGTAACCAAAGTATATGGCACATTTAAGTTCATTATTTGAGACATACAGTAAAAATACAAGTACTTTTACTATAAAATACCAACACTCACAGCTACATTTTCTTTTTATGGCAGGTGTTCTTCCTCACCCCAAGTCCTCTATTATTCCCACAATACCTCCTCCCCTCCCCCTGTCCATTCTCACACACACAACCACCTCCAAAGAAAGCAATACTGTAAGTTTCTGTAAGATGGCAGAATAGGCAGAAAGACTGCACAGACCTTCTTTAACAAAGAAAAGGGGAACCAATTAACAGATACAGAAGATAATCCTGGACCCCTGAGCCTTGAAGGGAAGGGTATAGAAGTGGACTAAACTCCAACTAGCAGAAGAATTTGCATGAAAACACCAAAAAGGAGACATAAGGAGCTGCAGTCTGGCAGCAATCCTGACAGCATAGACGGCGTGGAGAGTGCCGAGTGGTGGTAGGACCTAAGAGTTAACTTAAAAATCAGCCCTGCTAGCCAGGGACTGCACGGAGGACTGCTCTGGTGACTGGTGAATAAAAGCAGAAGCAGCGAAGAGGAAGGCTGGCTGAGTTGTGGACTTTTGCCTGACCGGAGGGCACAGCCATTTTGAATGTTTACAAGCGACAGTGTTCTCCCAGATTCCAGGGACTTAAGAAAAGGCTCCATTTGCTGGGAACCACGAGGACATTCCGGACGCGGACGACTGGAAAGGTGCAACATTCCCCTTGTTACTCTTATATCCCACACCCTCATGGTGAACAGAGGTGCAGCCATCCCTCACTCCCACCCACCTTCTGGGCCGGCAGGAATTCCATCCCAGTCTGTGTGCTCAGACAGAGCTGGTGCCCTGCCCTACCCTGATTTTTTTTTTCTTTTTTCTGTTTGTTTGTTTTTGTCTGTTTTATAACTATTATTATTGTTACTTTTGTCCTTTTTACTATTACTCTTTATTCTTCCCCTCCCAGGTTCTAGTTTTCAGCTTTTTTTCTCTTTTCTTTCCTGGTTGCAATTTTTTCTTTCTTCTGGTTAATCCCATTCCTTGTTTTTATTTTTTGCATTTTTCCCATTTTTTTCTTCATTATTCTCCTTTTCTACCTTTCTTCTCTTATTCCCTCTCCCCAGATATTGTGGGTTATTTTTTTTTCTTTTTCCCTTTTTTTGGTTACTGTTCCTACATGATTACATAGTGTGTTATTTGTCCATTTGCTTTTACCTTTCTGTTGGTTATTCAATTGTTATTTTTGTCTAACTGAGCAGAAGACAGCAACAGTCCCCATATGACACAACTACACCCACACCTCCTGCAGCTTCACTTACTGAGTGAGAGCCATTACTTCCTTCTCCACCAACGGGCCAACGATAAACCACCACCAAGATGAGCCTGACTCACCCTTGGCTGCTCTTCACAAACAGTTAAGAGAGATCGAAATACAACAACACAATGTCTCAGAGACAACGACCATCACAGTCCACACAAAGAAGCAAGGTAAAGTAGTAGAAACAGGAGAGAAAGATACAGACCCAGACCACAACACCTCAGTAACAAAAAGACAAATAATCCAATCAAAAATGGGCAGAAGACATGAACAGACATTTCACCAAGGAGGATATTCAGGCAGCCAACAAACATATGAAGAAATGCTCACAACCATTAGCCATTAGAGAGATGCAAATCAAAACAACAATGAGATACCATCTTGCCCCAGCACTAGTAACAAAGTTCCACAAAACAGAAAATAACAAATGCTGGCAAGGATATGGGGAGATTGGACTCTCATACATTGCTGGTGGGTCTGTGAAATGGTACAAGCACTGTGGAAAGCAGTATGATGATTGCTTAAAAAGTTGGAATTAGAAAAACCATTTGACACAGCCATTCCATTACTAGGTATATATCCTAAAGAAGGGAGAGCCATGACAAGAACAGACATATGTACACCCATGTTCATCACAGCACTATTTACAATAGCCAAAAGATGGAAACAACCTAGGTGTTCATCAACTGAGGAATGGATAACCAAACTATGTTACATACATACAATGGAACACTATGCAACCCTAATGAATAACATAGAATCTGCAAAACCCTGTATAATGTGGATGAACTTGGAGGACATTTTCCTGAGGGAAATAAGTCAATCACAGAAGGACAAATATTGTATTAGTCCGTTATTGTAAAAGTCAAGGAAAGGTTTATCTATGGAAGAAAATTTTCTTTGTTGGTTACCAGGGGTGGGAAGGGAGGGCAGGGAACACTGTTAGACAGGCAGAGATAAGTATTGACTTTTGTGAAGAGAAGGGAAATGTACCAAATGTCAACGATCAACATGGTGGCACTGAGGAAGAGGAAGGCATAGACAGGTACATGGGAAGTACAGACAACAAAGATGAACCCTTTTGCACCTACAGTACTGTGTTGTCAGTGAAGGCAAACATGGGTATATTGGTGGATAGATGGGTGTACAGGCTGACTATGAGGTATGTCTATGAAGCGGGGAGTGAACCCAAAGCCATGTATAGGGTTGGCAGTAAATGGTCCTATGAGAATATTTGTATGATCTGTAAGAATTCCCAGGTGTATAGTAGAGCTGACAAGGGACAAGGGTGTAGTCACTTCTTGGTCACAGCCAGCTACCCAGAGGAACCAAGTAGTTGAACCAGTGGTCTCAGGACCATAGTCGCAGGGGACATCAAGTTCAATTGGCATAACATACTACACTAAACATTGTTCCATCCCCTACTTTGGCGAGTAACGACTGGGATCTTAAAAGCTTGCAAGCAGCTATCTAGATGCAACGATGGGTCTCTCCTCATCCAGAGCAAAGAAGAGTGAAGAAAAACAAAGATTCATGGAAACAATTAGTCCTAGCAACTGGTACACGATGCAATCTATAGTCTATACTACCATGAGACCAGAAGAACTAGATGGTGTTCGGCTACCACTGTCAACCACTCGGAGGGGGATCTATGTAGGAGATCCTTGATAGAGAGGAAGAACAATGTGGAACAAAACTCAAAATCATTTGGGGAAAAAAAAAGGGGGAGGACCAGGTTTCCTGGTCTGATTGAGCCTGGTGGAACCACTGAGACTATGGCCCCTAGCTGCCCTTCAGGTCTGGAATAGAACTCACACATGTGGCTTCCAGCCAAACAAAAGACAGGCATATGAGTTGAACATTTACCTGAGGTAGATACACTCCTTGGAGAGAACAATCATGGGAGAAAGAAGGGCTGTTTATGCACAGGGAGACAGCTCAGGGGCCAGGAGTGCATGGAGGGAGGACACAGGGAAGAGGTAACTATTGGGAGAAAGTGGCAGTAGAGCTGTTGCATTGTGGTAAACTGTGGTCAATGTCATGAGACAAAGTGCATGTGAATTGCTGTATGGAAAGTGAATTTCCTCTGTAAACTTCCTCCCAAATCACAATTTAAACAAAAAAGAAAAGAAAGAAAGAAAGTAGTACACCACTTTCAGAAGTATCTCCTTCATAACATTTTCCTAAATCTCTTAATCCCTGTGCTTCACAAAACACAGTATTTCCTGAGATGGCCCAAGGATCATCTCCATCAACATTACCTGAGCAGTTTTTTATAAGTAAGATTCCTGGGCCTCACTACAAAACTGTTGTTGGTTTTGTTGTTGCCATGGAGTTGATCCCAACTCCACGTGTGCCTAGCAGAACTGCTCCGCAGGATTTTCAAGGCTGGGACCTTCAGGA